GGGCGAGGCCCCTCGGTGCGAGCGGGGCCGCGGCGCGGCGGGGGGGTCCTGCCGGCGCCCGCCCCCCCCCCCGCCCCCCCCCCCGGCCGGCCAGCCATCCCGCCGCAGGCTCCCCAGGCCAGAGGGTGCCGGGGCTGAGCCAGAAAGCCAAGACGCGGTGGCCGGGTTTTGCCTGCTCTCTGCTTGTCCCTCGGGCAGGATGGGGCCTCTCCCGCCTCCGGGACGGCACCGCTGCTTCCCAGGGCCGCCAGCAGCCTGCGCGGCACCGCCGGGGTGAAGCATCCTGCCACCTGCGTGGCGCGGGGAGGATGCGTGCCGGGGCTGCCGAGGTGACGCCGCAGCTCAGCCAAGCCCTCCCTGTTGTTTGCCGCGAGCGTGGGATCCAGCAGCGGCTCTTCCTGCCCGCTCCCTCCAGACCCGGCGCTGGCAGGAGGCATCGGTAAACGCGGTGGGTGTGTGGCTGCCTTTGCCAATAACGCCGCGCCTGCTGGGGACCCACCAGCCCCATGGGGTCCCCGTGCTTCGGGCAGGCAGGATTAGTGCCCCTGGGAAGAGTCTGGCTGGAGCAGCCTTGGCACGAGCCCTGCCCCGGAGTTTGCCTATTAATAGCCGTTGTTTGGTCCCCGGCACTTCTCTCGGCACCAGCCATTATATCCACACAATTGCACGGCCGGAGCCAAGTTGTTAACAATGCGCCACCGCCTCCGCGGCAAATAGTCCCTTCTCCGCGTTTAAATACCCCTCGGGGATGGGGAACGCCGGGGAGAGGGTGAGGAGGCAGGCTGAAGGCAGCCCGGCGCACCGGGGAGCAAAGGATGGGTGTGGCGTGCCGTGAGCGCGCCGGGTCGCGGCGTGCCGTGAGCGTGCCGGGCCTCGGCGTGCTGGGGATGGGGAGAAGGTGTGGGACGGGTGCGGTGGCGGGGCAGGTTGGTTTGGAGATAAGATGGTGGTGAGGGGCTGCCAGGGCTCGGCCGGGTGCCCCAGCACCGGTAGGGCCAGATCCTGGCCTTACCAGTGACTGAAATGGGGTCTGGAGGGGAGCCCGTGGGAGGGTGAATCCTGCTCCTCCCGGCGGGGTCCTGGGCAGCAGCTGCTTCGACCACCACTGAATCACGGGCTGGTTTAATTTACATAGAGCTAATTAGCAGGAGGATCTAATTAGAGCATCCATTAGGGTGCCGTAACATTGGGCTCACGCTGGATGCGGCTGGGGCGCTGGCGTCGCGCGTCCCAGCGAGGGGAGGCTGGTAATTACACTTGGCAGAATCGAATAAAAAACCGTTTCGGTGACAGGGCCACTCTTGCCCATGGTGCCGGTGGTGCCGGCAGTGCCCTTGCTACCGTGCCGAGCCACTCAAGGTGGGAGCTGGGGTGGCCGAAGTGCCGGCGGCGGGGAAAGCAGGTATTGGGAGGGTCAGCATCTCCCTGGGGGTGCGGAGCCCGGCGTCGCGGCAGTGCCGGCAGGGTGCCACGGCCACGTCCCCCCTAACGCCCACCCTGTTCTCGCCTCGCAGGACTCCATGTTCTCCCTGGCCCTGAAATGCCTTATCAGCCTCTCCACCGTCATCCTGCTGGGCCTCATCATCGCCTACCACACGCGGGAGGTGCAGGTAGGTCCCGGCGTCGCCGGCGCCGAGCGAGGGGCTGCCAGGGCGGGTGGCTGCGGGGTTTGCCGGGATTCGGTGGGATGTGGTACCCGAGCTCGTAGCCTGCATGGAGCCTCCTCCCTCCTTGCTGGGGTCTCAGGGGGCAGCGAGGGGTCTTGGGGGACAGCGAGGGGTCTCGGGGGGCAGCAAGGCCGGGCACCGAGGGGTCTGCCCAGGCGCAGGGTGCCCGGCGGAGCTTTTTTCCCCCCCCCCCCCGGCTTTGCTGGGAAATGAAAGGGCTCCCGGTTTGCTCCAGGAAGGCTGCGCTTCCCCACGGGATCCGGCTTCGGCGTGATGCCGGCGTGTTTTGGCGACGGGAGGAACGAATCACCAGGCAGAAAAGGAGCATCCCGGGAAGGGCCGCCGAAGCCCCCGACCCCGAGTGCCCGGTGTTTTGGTGCACCAAAGATCCCACCTCGTCCCGCTCGAGGCTGGGGGACGGGGCAGCTTTGCTGGCTGGGGGGCTGGAGGCAGGCGCGCCGCTCCCTGCCTGCCTCCTGCCTGCAGGGACCTTCCCGGGAGCCACCCCCCCGGCTCAGCCTGCCTGCGCGGGCAGCGAGCCTGGCTGCGGGTTGCTCAAAGCAAATATTTGGGAGTTCTGGTTTTCTGCTAGAATAATATTTACCCCGGGGTGGTGGCGGTTGGGGTCAGCCAGGCGGGCTGTGCCCCGGTGCTCGCCGGCTTCCTCCGCTTGTTGTTCTCGGGAGTGGGTTGTGCAAAGGCAGCGTCCACCCCAGCGGTGCGCGGGGCTTCCCACATCTCCCCCGGCTCTGCCTGCGGCCGGAGCCGAAATCCCCGCTGCCGTCCCTCCGCGGGGTCCCGGTCCCCGAGCACACGCGCCGTGCCGGTGCGGGGATGCCGAACCTCGCCACGGTCTGGCCGTGAGGCCCCGGCTGCTGCGCTGGGCTGGTTACACTGGCAGGGAAGGGAATGAGATCGGTTTGACTTGATTTGCTCCGGACAAAGCCGCGCTGGCTGCTGATCGCCCTATTATCTCTTAGGTGCTTATAAAGGGATTGCTGATAATCCGGCCGGGGATGGAAGCGGGGCTGACAGAGCTGTAAATCCTCCGCTTCTCGGCCCTCTTGCCTAAGGGGGGGCTGCGCTCACCCCGCCATGGCACTGCCGGACCTCCCCGGCCTCCAGGAAAGCCTCGACAGCGGCTTTGGCCTCTTTCCTCAGTATTAATCGCATTAATTGCCCATCTTTTGGGACATTTGCAGCTCTCCCTGTGCCTCGGTTTCTCTGGGGCTTGGGCATCGCTGTGCTTGGGGTCCTGAGTCCAGCTCCTGGGGTCCTGCCTGTCCCCTCCCCGGCTGCCTACACCCGCTGTCACCCGACGGGCTGGGACGGCGGCGGGTCCCCGGGGTGTCCCTGTGCCCCTCCCCCGCCAGCCGGGGCTGCAGGTGAAGAAGATCCTCCCGCCCCCGCCGGCCTTCCCAGCTCCGCTTTCTGCTGCAAGGCCGTGAGCTGCTGCTAATTGCGTGTGTCGCTCGCTCGTCGCGAGGCTGAGCGTGTGCAGAGAGCTGCCAGCAGCGCCGCCGCGGCCCCGGCCTCCCTGCGCCCGCGGGCAGGGGCTGACCCGCTCCCGGTGACACCGGGCTCAGCGCCTTGGGGATGGCTCTGGTTTGCACCCTGGGGTAGGGTCTGCCACCGCTGTGATGCCCCAGGGTGGTGCGGAGCGTGACAGCACCGCAGTTATTGCCGTGGCACGGGATGGAGCGCAATGCCGGCGAGGCTGCCAGCTCCGGCCGGGGGGATTCTGGGGGGGCACGGCCCCCCTCGCCCCTGCCCTCGGGGTGCCCGGGGCTCTTTGTGCATTTAATTGGGTGAAGCTTTCTCCCCCCACGCGGCTTCTCGGTGGCTTTCCTTGTGCTTCGCTTGCCCGCAGCTGCAGTGGCCAGCGGGCTTGCTCCTTCCCCTGCCGGCGCCGATGCTGGGGATGCTGGGGATGCTGGGGATGCCCCGGGTACCGCCGGCCCGTGCCGGGGTTTCCATGGAAACCCGCAGCGATGCGCCGCAGGTGCAGGGCTGAGAGGGGCTGGCGCAGGGGGAACCTGCCCGAATCCCCCCCTTGCTCCTTCCCTTCCCCGACCCGGCCCGTTGCAAAACCCCCCCACGCAGTCAAAAGGCTCCCTGCCTTTTTCCTCTTGCTAATTTGTTTATTTTTAACACCCTTTTCCAGGAAGGAATGGGCTGTCAGCTTGCTAACTGCCTGAGGATCTCCCTTGACAGCTTGGAGCATTTTTATAAACAATTTCTCAAACAAAGCAGCTAAAAGGAGCGGAGCTTTCCAAACAGAAAAGGAGGTGGCCGGGGACGGCCGCTCCGTGAGTCAGTCCCGGCGGCTCTTGCTGTCCTCGGGGAGAGCCCTGTGTGTCGTGCCGTGCCGGCGAGGCGGCTGGCGCAGGTGCGCTGGGGCCTCCGGCGGAGTGGGAGGTTGTTCCCGGGCTCGGCGCCAGCCGGGGCCGCGCTTCCACCCAGCACCCGGGGCTGGAGCGGCCGCGAGAGCTCCTGGCCCCCCCGGATGAGCCGGTGTTGCTGCCACGTCCCCCTTGGATCCTTTCCCAACGGTGTCTTTGCCAAACACTGCTTGCGGAGAGGCTCTGAGTGCGTCCCCGCTGCCGTAGGTGACACCGGTGTCCCCGTCGCACCAGGGACAAACCGATGGCAGCCTCGGGACGGCCCCGCCGAGGCAGGACGGGGTCTGGCGGCGTCCTGGCAGGACCAGCCCGAGCTGCCGTCCTCCCAGCTCCCGCAGAGACCCCGACTCTGTCGCCGGCGGTGGGAGAGGAGCTGGTACCCAGGACGAACCGGCGGTTGCTATGACAACCGGATCCCATCGCCGCCAGCGACCGGGTGCTCTGGCTGTGGTGTTCCCTCCCCAAAAGTTGCCCCAGCACTGGGGCGTGGTGGCTGTCGGTGACACTGGTGCAGCAGTGGCGGGAGCAAAGGGTGGCTCGTGCCAGTGATCTGCGGCACCACGGCTCACCCGTTTCCGTGCCCCCGGCAAGGAGGCCGTGTCGGGAGGTGGGCTCCTGCCAGCCGGCGTGCGGGAGCGGGTCCGAGCGAGCTGTCCCCATGCCGTACCTGGGCACCCTAAAGCTTTCTGGGGTGTCCCCAGCGCTGTCCCCGTCCCCTGAAGACCCAGGCAGAGCAGCGGAGGGGATGGAGAAGGCTCATCCCCACCTTTGCCTTCCCCATCCATCCCCAGGCCTCCTGGCTGAAGCCATCGCTGGCTCCGCGGGGCACTGGTGTCGGTCCCCCCGGGTGCCCGTGGCGGGACGCTGGTGGGGCAGGGTCAGCCGGGGCCACCAGTAACCGTGTGGTTTTATATCCCGGTAGCTCTTTGTGATTGACAACGGAGCCGACGACTGGCGGATAGCGATGACGTACGAGCGCATCCTCTACATCAGCCTGGAGATGCTGGTTTGTGCCATACACCCCATCCCCGGGGAGTACAAATTTTTCTGGACAGCCCGCCTGGCTTTCTCCTACACGCCTTCTCGGGCAGAGGCGGACGTGGACATCATCCTGTCCATCCCCATGTTCCTGCGCCTCTACCTGATCGCTCGGGTGATGCTGCTGCACAGCAAGCTCTTCACCGACGCCTCCTCGCGCAGCATCGGGGCGCTCAACAAGATCAACTTCAACACCCGCTTCGTCATGAAGACTCTCATGACCATCTGCCCCGGGACGGTGCTGCTGGTCTTCAGCATTTCCCTCTGGATCATCGCTGCGTGGACGGTCCGGGTGTGCGAGAGGTGAGAGGGGCTGTGTTGGGGTTTGGGGTGCGTGGCCATTCGGGGTGCGTGGCTGTTTGGGATGCGCAGCGG